GGAGAGCGACTTGACGTAGATGGCCATGGCAGCGTGCATCTTGTCCATGCCTAGGAAAGGGAGGTCAGCATAGTGAGCGGGAGAGGGCAGCGAGCATGCATACCTTCATGGCGCAGGTTCATCTCCACCTCGAGGGCCTTGAACTCGTCGGACAGGCCCGTACGGGCTTCTGCGCCCATCTTCTCGTTTGTCCATTGCTTGAGGCGGTCGAATTTCTTGTTGATGTTCATGATTGCAGTGCAGCGAGTGTAGAAGTGGCCAGAGTGGAAGGAATGAGCAGCAGGATGGCGAGGCGGGGAGGCGGTGGGTGGTGAGAGCAAGTGCTGGGCCGTGTGCAGGGGTGCGGATTGCGCGTGCACCCAAAGATAGAGCCGGGATGGGGGTGGCGATCAGTCTGCAGCGAAACGAGGGCGAGTGGGCGAGGGAGAGCGTGTTTGGGAGGAGGGAGATGAAAGGGAGGGACAGACGGAGGACAGATGGACAGTGGGGTGGGAGTAAATTGGTGGGCAAGTAAAAAGCAGCAGTAGTAAGTATAAGTATGGATGGAATGTACGGGCTGGGCTGGGCTGGAGTGGACGGGCAGATAATAATTCCTACTACATACAACTGGGACCAACCAGCCGTTCCCCTCTGCTGGGCCAGCGTGCAGTCCAGCCCTGATCACCACTGCGGGGGGGCAGCGGCGGCGACAAATGGCCACTAACCCCCCCAAGGGCTGGTTGGTTGGGGTCACGACGTCCGACGTTGGGCACAGAGGGGCTGCGCAACCACCTCGCCCTCTGCTACACCTGCGTTTCACTCGCCCACTCGACTCTGCCAATACCCACCCGTCTCCCATCCGTAGCCGCCACGGCCTGTGTTGGTCCTCCTAGTGCGCCGTCCAGACTCTCCGCCATGCACCCATGCAGCGCCTTGTCCGCTATCGCTGTCGCCTTCCTATCTCGAGCCAGCCTTCGGCTGCTGATGCCATCATCCTCGTGCTTCTAGAATACGCCGTCTTGTCTGCAGCCCATCGTATTGTCTGCCTCGCTAGGCTGCGGTGCGGTGCACTGTGACGTCGTTTGCCTGTAGCCATACTTGGATATGTATGTGCAGTGCCGTATATGCTTCTCACGCGTCTATATTATATATATATATATATGTGTGTGTACACACATATACACATAGATACGCTGCACTAATCTGGTCTTACAGAGCCAAGCAACTCCCAGGACAACCCTCGCCGGTTCGCAGTGATGCATTCCCTCTCCTACACTACATACTACGCATACCTAACTGTCTAACCATGGCTGGTGCACGTGACTCTGCAAGCGCCAAACCGACCTCCCAACCTCAACCGCGCCTTGGTCTTCAACCAGTTCGACACCACACCGACACCCTTCTCGCATCACCTTCCCCCACGCATGTGTGACCAAACCCTCAAAAGCCGATGCGCTGCACTTGAACACTCACCCACACTAACCCCACATGGACTACAAACAAGCCTGCACCTACGTTTCCGTACCCGTATCACACACTAACCTCGTCCATCTTGTCCGGGACGCTACTCCCAGTCGTCATGGCCACTTGCATCAAACCATGCACAAGAATGCGAAATGAGGTTGACATCTCCAAACTTGGCAAAGAGACGGACCTGTGCATTTGAGCCTCAGATGGTACCCACCAACGTCAAAACAGTCATCGCATAGCGTGCGCATACATCGCCAGTCTTGCTTGGCCGATGCGCCCTCATCTCCTGTGCAATCAACTTTTTTTTTACACTCCTCATGGATCCATCTTCTTGGCTACCCACAGCAACGAAACACCAACCAAGATCTGTTATTATCTTGCAAACATGATGAATCCAGACTACTAGGTCGACCAGCACCGTAGGATGCATAGTTGGGACATGGCCGGGGCAAAAGCGAGTGCTAAAGCGGTGAAGCGGTGGTGGGAGCAGGCTTTGTTGGTGCAATATGTAGAATGCCCAGATATAGTCGACAGCCGCGCTTTGACAAGAACATCATATAGGCCAATGACATGTTTGCTATGGGAACTTTGCGTCGTGGAGAAATGCGGCATGCTCGTCCTTTGTTGCTAATGACCTGTTGCATCGCAAAGAGCAATTCCACGTGAAATTGCCCATTGCCTTGATTAGCCCAGCGACGGATATTTATTTTAGACGATCCTTTGTGCTAGCCGACTGGCATTACCTCATGCGTCCCTAACCTTGCTCTATTCGCAGTTCCTCTCCCCAGCCCGCTACCGCAGCCGCAACTACCACCACCAACTACCAACATCAACCACCACCCCCAGCAACCATGGCCGACTCGGACTCTTCCCTGTCTTCTGCGCCTCCTACCGACGATGAAATGGACGTCCAAATCACGCAGGCGACGGCCGCAAAGCCTGCGCCACAGAAAAAGAGAAAGAAGAATGGCACCATCTTGACTTTCTTCAAGCATCGCTCGCCCTCTCCGCCCCCGAGGAAACGGGAACCCTCTCCACCCCATGAGCCCGTACCAGAGGACAATCCAGACATTGCTGTACGTATTGGACGCGTCAGTCGCGTCCAGACGCGCCGTGTTGCGTCGCAATCGCGACCCATTTCTCCCTCAACCCAAAACTAATCCCATGTGCCACAGTTCATCGTCATGTTTCGTTCGCGCTTCAACGAAGCCTTCCCCCGCGGCTCCCCCCATGTCGGCCCACAGGACATTGAATCAGGTGTTGCCGAACACACTCCGTCGGCCGATGTCGAGGGTCTGCTGTGTTCCCTGCTTGGCCTTGTCCTCAATCGCAAGAAACCTGTCGAGTTAGTTCAGCCCTCTCGCCCGCTCCCAATACCCATTTCTCGGTCGCCTACTCGCTCCGCACGCAATGACACAGCACGCATACTGACGTGGTTACTCTCTATAGGAAAGGTCACTATGGTCGGGCTCTCGAAGAAGCCATCCAAACCCAGAGGTCGCAATGGCCCACCAAGTGGACCACCAATCCCCTTAGCGGCGGTCGCAGCTTCAATACCATGACACCAGAAGAGCGGGTGAGCAGTCTTGGAGTCCCTCTCGCTGTCGTATGCTGACGAGCGCCTTAGATAACCCTCCTTCACTCACTGTGTCTATGGAGTCTAAACCAGAACGAGCAGGTCAAGAATATGATCAACACGGCCTACAAGTCACGGACTACCAAGGACAGGCAAGACACAAACATCCCCTTGTCAGTGCAGGCATGGGGTCGTGACGGCGATAAGCGGCGGTACTACCTAGTCGAGGGGCAAAACGATACCCATTTCCGTGTCTACCGTGAAACTGATCCCAAACTAAAAAAGGTACAATGGATCAGTGTAGCTGGCTCCATCGAACAAGTGCAGGCGCTAGCGAAGAAACTAGAAGAGGTCGACGGTCACAAAGAAGCAAAGGCACTAAGCGAGCGCATGCTCAACGCTGTCCCGCGGTTTGAAGCCTCTGAAGTCGTATGTTGAACATCAACTATATACTCCACTCATACTAATGACATGATAGAAACGAAAGCGACGTGAATACACTCGCCAGCGCAAAGACGCCTTCACCCGCCCAGAACCCGGTTTCTCTTTGTACGAAGGTCGCACTCGTGGCAAGCGCCAACGATATACATTTGACGAAGAGGACGAGTTTGACTCGGACAACCTATCTGTGCGTAGGTCCGGGCGGCAATCGGGTCGCGACACTCCTGCTGCACCCTCTGGCCCAACTGTCACTGCGAGCGGTCGCCAGGTACGATCTCGCGCAACCGGCCTGTACGGGGAAAAGCTCCATAGTGGACAAGTTACAGATCACCCATCGCCAGCGACTGGTGACTATGTGCGATCGGATATATCAGAGGAGCCACAGTCAGGCCATGGTCGGGCTGCACGGGCTGCGAATAGAGGTGCAATCAACGAACGTACATTGAACCGGCCGATGGATTCAGAAGATGACGAGGATGCAACGTCATGGGATGGGGGAGACGATGATGAGGAAGAGCCTGATCAGATGGATCTTGACGATGATGAAGACGACGCCGGTGCTGATGACTCCGAGGAAGAAGATGACGAGCCAAGCTTGATGGTCACCCTCCGTTATCGCAAGCCAGGCTCTGACGCCCAAGACAACGACACAACTATGGGCAATGGTGCAAGTCAAGATGCTGCACAAGTTTCCAAAGCACAGCCACCACAACCACTGCAGCAGGATACTACGCCCCGCTCCGAGCCATCAGCATCTACAGCGCAGCCAGAAGCCCCCTCAGCAGCCAACGGTCTCTCAACACCACAGCAGTCTGACACGGCGTCCATCGTCCCCAAGTCACAGGAATCATCCGTCGCCAACTCAGATGCTGCATCTAAACCCGACAGCGGTTTCTTCTCAGCGCCAACCCCGCCGTACAGCGCACCTGAGGAAGCATCAAAGCCCCAAAGGCCGGCAGACTCGACTCCCATGAACGTCGAGGTACCAGCAACGCGATAGACTTCCTCTGTCGTTGTCATATATCCTCATGATAAGGACACTTGCGCCTTGTCATTTTTTTTCTTGTGCTTTCCTGCTCGGGTGGAACAATCATATGCTTCTTTTTTGCTCATGTGTAAAGCAATAATGACATACCCCCTCCTTGTTTTTTTCTTCTTCTATCTTCGTCGTGCGAGCAAGTGTCGTTTGGGTTGGTAGTGGCTAGGTTAGAAATTTGGGAGACGGGGAGATATATATATATATACACATGTGTCAAGAAGGGGGACAACGAGGATCAAAAGCAGAGAAAAAGTAGATTAATGGATACCCCATGTTGCGAATCGAGGCTTATCATGTTCTTCTTCTTCTTCTTGGATGTTGGAAAGGAGGTGTATTAATCAAGGCATATAATACAATAAGCAGCGAAGCCCAAAGTTTGGAGTCCCTTCCTTTTTTTCTTCTCAGTGACATGGCCTCCCCCCGCATTGACTACTGGAGGGGAAAAAATATCTAATCTTACATTCAAAACATGCGTCTAATCATATCATCATACAATCATCGAGGCAGAGCACCGGGCATACCTGCCGCAATCCCCGTCGTAGTTCTACTCTGCAACTTGGGTCTCGCAGACTGGCGTCCTCGGGGCTGCTCGCCGCGCCAGCGCATGCCATCAGCGCGGTGCTCTCTGGCATCAGCCGCCGAGCTTGGTTTGCGGACGCCAGCTCTGATCTCTGCTTCGCGCATCTTCTGGCCCTCGGCCTCGATACGTTCCTCCAGCGTCACGTTTTCGGATATCGGGCTTGGGATGTACGCGGATGAAGGGGGAGCAGTCCCGTTCCCCTCCATGACAGCGATTTCGTCCTCGTCGTCACTGTCTTGGAGTGCTGTGTCGGTGCCGGCGGCCGTGGCTGCTCCGCCTCTGGTGTTGTGTTTGCGGGGCCAGAGCGAGGGAAGTACAATTTGCTGGAAGCGCGGTTCTACGGCGCGCTCGTCGAACCAGGCGTGCACGCGCGACTCGATGAGCTGCGCTATCTTGGGCACGTCTTGGAGGCGTGATCGGGATCCGACCAGGGAGCGCACGGAGAGGTCCAGCCGGTAGTCGTCGAGGAATGTAAAGGCGAGGGTTGTGGGACGGTGTGGAGGCGCGCCGGAAGACGATGAAGGACGGCGCGGAGAGGCATTTTGGTGTGTACCTAGTCTTGGTGATGAGACAGGTGCGGGGGTTGACGCAGGTGACGATGATGGTATAAAGGACACTACTAGTGTTCCCGAGAAGCGCACGATACTGACGGCTAGGGCAACTGGCAGAACAGCAGATCTTGGTTTTGGCCAGTTCAAATTCAACGTCGTCTCTATGCCAATGGTAATGACATCGCTCAGATCCACGTCCATTCGGGCTTGGAGTCTCTCTTTCTCATTCCCCGCGTTCCCCGGTCCATACCAGAAGCCGTCATCGGCAGGCATGACTCTGCAGTTGCTGAATATGGGAAACTCGTCACCAAGCGCTATCTCGGTCACTCTGATGTCGCCAATCCAGTCGGGTTTGCTGCCGGCATTCAGGACATCTGTGAGCGATGTTAGGATCGCGTCGTCCTGTCGCGCATCAGCTCTTAGTTGGGCAATGGTCTGCGCAATGAGCACGTTGAACCAGTCTAAGCTCTCCGGTTGGTGTCCTTTCACATTATAATATGTCTTTGCAAGTATAGTTGCTATGCTTGGCCCTCCCATGCTCTCCTCTCCCTTTCGTATAATACTCCGGGACGGCTTGTGTCGTAGTGAAAGTGACGTTGAATTTGCCCGTGCCCGCAACTGCTTATACGATTGCTGATGAGCTAGTGTTCGAGCTCGTCGCAGAGAATTGAGGTGCAGTGCGCGCTCATCGGCCGAGGGAGGCTCTCCAAAAATGAAGAACTTGATGAAGCAGAAGATTAGCAGTGCAATGGAAAGCTGTCCAAGCAGGAAGCCCTGGGTGAAGGAGAGTCTGTAGCATGTTAGTGGGGGTTCAACCAAGTTGAGAGGTTACTGTACGATGAGGCGCCGCCCTGTGTGACGGGCAGCGGCACTGGCGTAGGAACGTCTTGGGCCATGTTTGCGACTGTGTTCCTACTACCTGCTTGAAAATTCCATGTTGTGTATATGGGTTATGGTTGTTTACAGAAGGAGCCAAGACGTAATTGTGCATCGACCAGAAGGGAAGGATGATGGCGCGCAGGGAATTGGAAGCTACTATCGATAAGCGTGACCTCCCTTTCTACCTGTTGTCCACACCTCGTCTCTGCAACCCATGACTCTTCAGACACCCGACCACCCCTCTCCATACTCTGCCCTTGCCTAGGATGCCCATTCTCTCAGAGGTCGTCGCCTTTCGTACTCCCACGAACCGTGTTGCTGCCATCAAGGCGGCCAGAGTAATTCGCTCAATCAAGAGCCGATACCGAACTCAGGCCTTCCTCTTCCTGGCGTACCACTTCTTTCTCACATCACCCATGCACCTCGACATCTTCATCATGTTCTTTATCCTCGTGAGCAACTTCATGAACCGGCAACAGGCGTTTCCCAATCAACTGGCCATTGACGCTCTCCGCTTCCTAATAGACGAACGGAGGTTCGTCATGCCTTAATCGATGGACGCAGTTACATTGGAAACCATTTTGGACTGGCATATGTTGCGGAAGAGTGTTCTGCTCACAGCGTATCTTATGAGTCCCTCATACACCTCGGCATCTCTTTCACTTGTAGAACACGGAGATAGCGGCAGTTGCATCTCCGATTGGCCGACTAAGCTCCCCGCCTCGAAACAGCTTGGAATCGCATCTCGTTACGGACATTCGCAACGTTCATATGGACTTCGACACTCTGAGCCAAAGCCTCTCGCCAGGCGGAGCCATTCAAAATCCTACCCTCACGCTGCCTGCCACCTGCGACCCACCATCTGAAAGCAACCCTCCGAAACGGGCAGTATGGATTGTAAGACGCGCTTCTGTCTACTAGACACGCGCTGAGTAGCTAACGCCTGTTCTCAGGTCTTTGGAGCGACCGGACACATAGGGCGATCCCTAGTTCGAGCGATTCTAGCACACGGCGATCAATGCACTGCAGTCGGATGGTCCCAAGAAAACACATTGGAGCAGATGGGCAAGTGGCAGAATAAGAACTGCTTGGGTTTGCTTTGCGACGTCCGAGTGCGGGACACGGTGAATTGGGTGATCAAAAAGAGCGTCGACTATTGGGGGCGTGTGGACGTGATAGCGAACAGCACCGGTTACGGCGTCATTGCAGCTTGCGAAGACCAGGACGACTACGACCTGCGCAATCAATTCACCACCAACTTCCTCGGTACTCTGCATATCATCCAGCTGTCACTCCCCTATTTTCGCGCCCAAAACTCTGGGCGCTACCTCATATTTTCCTCTACGGCTGGATCTCTCGGCGTACCCGGACTTGGCCCGTATTGCGCGACAAAGTATGCTGTTGAGGGTCTCATCGAGTCCATGCTATACGAAGTCGACATTTTCAATATCAAAGCGACCCTAGTTGAACCCGGCCATGTTCGGCTGGATGAGCCCGACGACAATGTAATGGCCCCTAGCTATACCTCTGCTCCTACCTCAGGAGCAGGGCCTCCCAAACCGAAGCGGTACGGTCACTTTTCCGTAAAACCAAATCCAAGCGAGCCATATTCCAGTTTGACTAGTCCTGCACAGCACGCGCGGCGGATGGTACAGTGGCTAAATGACCGGCAGCCGGTGAGTGCCGTGAAAAGCGCTGAACTCATGTGGCAACTGGGTCATTGTAGCTACCCTCCGCTGCGCTTGGTCCTGGGTAGTTATGCTGTGGAAAGTATCCGAGACCGTATGAAGAGTATTACCGAAGAGGTATGTAAATGCCTCACCGTCTCATGAACTCACTGACACGTTGTAGATTGAGGATTGGAAACACCTTTCGTTCCCAGTCTCTATGCCTCCAGAAGATGAGGAGAGAAAGGATGATGCCAAAGAGGAACAAGACCAGGATGAAGAACAAGATCAGGAATGATGGGCTGAGCAATTCGCATGCTGATTCGATGTTGCTATTTTACCGTTGCTGTGCATGTCTTCTTGGTCTTTAAGAAAATAATATTGAAAGAAGATAATTTATGCCTGCAAATGTATCAGCCACTCAAGCTACCTCGACGAACTTGGAAACGCTCCACCTTATAGTGTCTCACAAAATTAATTTGTGGGATAGGTGCTACATCTCAGTAACAATGCATGTAGCACAAGACCAAAATACCGGAAGTGTTCATCACAATTGTCTCTTGTCCCGAACCGACTACAAGCGCCCCAAGCCATACCGCGAAAGATGCGTCCCTTGAAGCAAAAACAACCCCCACGCTAACCTCGCGTATCTACAACGCATGGCAGAGGCGCTACAACGTGCGCACAGATCAAGCATCAATGTGGGTCTCTCGCCCGTGCAAAGAAAAAATTCCCGCTCTTCCCCTCCTCACACCCAAAAGCAAAAAAGAAAAGAAAGTGTAATGCATCGGCCGGGAATCTACTCGTTTGTTAGTTGAATGTCCGAATTGAACGGTGTATTATTGCTGGGAAAATCTTACCGAACCCGGGGCTAGCCGAAGTTGACCTTTTCATCCACTGCAAGACGCGATGGAATTGAAAGATGGCAACGGCTAATTTTACCACTAAACCACCGATGCTGTTTTGTTCTGATGGTTTGTTGCACTGGAGCGGGTCCAATGGACCATGTGCTGGATCGATGACCGGTGGTGGGATTGTAAAGCAAATATTGCAAGTGAAACAGCGGGACTGGCCCGTAGCGAGGGAGAACGATCCCCATTCTGAACCTGCAATTGGGCTAGCGTGGCTGGGGTGGTCGGCGTGAAGTTGCTTTTTGGTACTACCTCATATGTGCTTGTTTGTCTTGGGCTATGTAGCTATTGACGACGTGTACACCGCTGCAGAGACCGTTTTTCCCCTGTCTATCGGGTACGGTGATGCTACCGTGTATTAGTGCTATAGAAATGGGGTTTTTTTCTTGGATAGTTTTTTGTCTTGTGGTTGACTGTGCAGTCAAGTACTGATACGTCTGTTCAAACGGTACCAAAGGCAAAAATGCAAGGTTTACTCTATCAAAGGTGGCAATGTGTTTCGGTACATTGACGTGACCCCAATGCCTGCTCAGCAATATTACATGCATTAATATATCGGGTTTGAAAGCAGAGGGTCACGGAAGAACTCGGTTTCAGGCTATAAATGAATGAACCGGCTACATGTGTACAACCCACGTCTACCACGCCGCCTATACTGCCGACCAGCCCTGGGGATTTGTCTACTAAAGAACCAAGCCACTCTAGTAAAACATTTGTCATCCAGGTAATATCGATCAGCATGGTTTGTAGATCTGGAAATAGCCAAGGGCCATGTCGATGTGTTTGCATCGCTCTGTAATCCCGACCCACCTCATACCAAGAACGTGGGGTCCTGCAGCTTGCATTAGCCCATTTTCCACGATTCAGTCTAGGGATACCACGATGGTCAGATTTTGATTTACCTTTGGGAAGCGTGAAATAACCAACACTACCCCCATGGTTGTTGATACAATTATCCACAGATCCGCAATCGAAATTGTCAAGAGGACCTGTTCCGTACGTCGTTCCAATCACTTCTCCATCAATAGTTACCTCAAAGTGTTGGCACCTTCTACTCGCATCAGCTACCACTAAGATAGTGTCCTCTGGATAATTGATGTCTTTTGTCTTCATCTCTGAGGGTTCGTATGAATTCTTTTCGTGACGTAGCTCCAAGCGTTGCCAGCTTTCAATGATTTCTGTAGTGCATGGCTTATCATCAAGTTGTACTGGTGGTTCAACTGGTGGAGGCGCAGGTGAAGGCGCGGGGTCGACGACGGGAGGACGGGACTGGTTGAATGTCATTCCGTCACTACAAGTGCAAGAGCAGGCCTCTGGAACAGGATCTTCACAAGTTAGAGTAGGTACATGACCTGAGATCATGTGTTAGTGAAGAAACTCGCTCATCTGATAGTGAAAACGCACCGCTCTGGCATGTCACCATGCTGCCAGAAACCATGCTACCAGGGAACATGTCCATTCCAAACTGTGCATGGACAATTTGGCCGGTTATGGTGGCAATGATAGCTATGGAAACACGCATGTTGTCGGTTTCTTGGGATGGAAGATGGATATGATAGTCGATATAGAATGAGTTTGCAGAGTTTGTTTCAAGAAGAAGTTCTAATCTATATACCTTGCGGAAATCGCTCAAGTCACTTGCGTCCCTGTATTCTTGGTGGTGGAAAAAGAACAGTGAGCTACGCAAGTAGTCAATGTCACACCGACTGAATTCCACAAGCCAAGCAACACACACCGATGTGAATAGATAGATGTTCATGGCTGCATGCCCTTCAGTTAAGACAGGGGTTCCTGACAATATGGACAGAAGATATGTCCAGGAAATATCTACGTATCTACTCAGCGATCACTTCGTTGGCTAGCAAATAGTTCCGAATGTTCCGGTTTGTTATCAGAGCAGCCAAGTGATTTGCATTGGCCCGAACGCGAAGGATTTGGTCACAAGCAGTCATTTTTGTAAAAACTAGAAGTACTCGGTACGCAACGTCGAGGTCATAAGCAATCATTCCGCCCATTGGCAAAAACAGGCATAGAATAGGTAAGACCCGACTCGACTAGCGCCGGAACCCCGCAAATATCCCGTATATATCCGGATCGACAAGACACAAACACAAATAAACAAAGGTTTAGACTTCTTTTTTAGCGGTACATGCACCTGTAAGAGATCATACGCAGGTGGTGCTGTGCTGCGAGCATGAACTCTAGATAGCCAGGCAACGCGCTCGAACAGAGCAAGGCACCATATTCTGGATCAAAAAAAACCAAGCGTAAGTTAGTCAATAGCAAGGTGCCAGATCTTTAGGAATGAACAATATATAAAGCATGTCTGTGAAGCTCATTTTACTTGTCCCATCACTTCACAGTTCATCCTCTTATTCTTGAATTCATTATCTATACAGATATCATGAGGACTTCTTTGGTATTTCTCGTTTCGGCCCTTTCTGCAGGTGTTTGCTCCCTCGACACCCAACAAGTGCTCGGGACCTCGTACCAGTGCCAGAACGGTAAGCAGACTCAAGGCTCAACGTTTCGCGAATCTTACAAAAAATCTAGGTGCAACACCTGCGGCTACGTGTACTGATCCATCGAACGTACCCACATGCGCCTGCTCCTGCTCCAACGGCGTCACGTACAATGAGCCACTCTCTGCCCATACCTCCAGAAATCCCAGCCCCTTTCCCGACACTTGCCAGGCTGAAAAGGGCGAATGTCTCGATCGCGAAAAAATACTCACCGCTCAAGTTACCGAGGCTCAAGAGAAGCACACAGAGTGCGAGGCAACATCCCTAGCCGACCGTCAAAAGGCGGAACTGGATGCCTTGCAACAAGATCAGAACTGCAAACTGGAGTTGAGCAACAAGGATGTGGAGATCTCTCAATGCAAGCGACAGTCGACCGACGACGTACATGCTGCAAACAGTGCTTGCAAGGTGCAGTTGAGCAGCAAGGATATAGAGATCACTCAATGCAAGCAAAAGTCGACCATCGACCTCAATGCTGCCAACAGTTCTTGTAAGGCCAAAGAAGATGCACTCAACACAAGGTTGTCCAATTACAAGAAGAAGAATTATCGCTACCTGGGCTGCTACACCGACAGTGCCAACCGAGTTATTTCCGGGAAAGAGACAATCGATGTTAGGATGACGCCCCAGATGTGCGCCGCCATCTGTGAGAACTCTACTTTCTTTGGTCTCGAGTACAACAGATACTGTTATTGTGGCACTGGTATCATGAACAACCATAAGTTGGTCTCTGGAGATCAATGCGATCGCAAATGCCAAGGTGACAATGGTCAGATCTGTGGAGGTACCTGGAGGGCATCTGTTTATGTAAGGACAGAATAAAGTAGACTAGATGGCCTGCACAGAACAGTGATAACTACAGTACATGGTAGAGAGGGCGGGGGGGACCGAGGGACCGAAGTAGGATTGATTTGGTGACATGAGCTAGATTAACAAGCAAAGTAGACAATAGCATCGTAGTTGGTAATAAAATATGGTGTACCGACTTATCCTCGAATGTGAAATCCCTTCGTTTCAGCGACAGCTATATGACAGCAATATTCAGAGTTACAAGCCAAACTGACATACATCCCGCCAAAAATATGTCAGAGCTCCAAAGCAAGGGAGAGAGAACGGAGCGTAGCCCAACAGCCTAATCTCAGTCGGTTCCTGACACTCTTACACCTTACACCGCAAATGAGACCGAATCAAAACAATTCACACGACCTAATGTGACACTAAGCATCGTAGAAGAAAGCAAACGCAACTAGGCCCATCACAATGTCTCCATAACAATACAAGACCAATCTATCTTGTTGCCTTAATCCACAGTCATCATTGATACTTGATAGCGCCAATCTCGCACCCCTAACCATTCCCCTACCCAAAACAGATAAAATGCTCCAAGATCCCCAACCCCAGTACTTGCAAGACCACACATCTCAAACCATTCCAAATAGCACTTTCCCACTCCAGTAACCCCAATATACCAGTCTCACAGTCTAAAAGAAAACCCCCTTGTAGGTCAACTTTGCTGATCTGCGCGACGCGTACCTCCCATACGTCACACAACAAGGCCCGCAGTCCAGTCTACCAACATTCAAAAAAAGTTTCATGGGAGAGAGAGACAACGCCTGAATTCCTTTTTTTCTCTCCCCAAGCTAAAATACCCCCTTTCTTCAAGAAAAGGGAACTCTGCTCTATTCTCGCTCTGTGATCAGAGTTCCATACAGAGAGAGAGAGAAAGTCGAGGACAAAGATGTATGAGCTGCTACCCACGAATCGATTGCATGTATTACATACAAAGAAACTCACGCGCTCTCTCTCTCTCTCTTTCTACCGGCATTTCCCCAATAAGCACCAAGCAGCGAAAAGACGTTGCGGTTATGAAAATCACGATATAAACTCGATAAACAGTATAAGTGCAATGAATACAATTGGGTGTTAGGGAGAAGAAGTGAAGAAAGGTTGAAGCAAGTTGGTACTTTAACCAAGTCCAAACTGTAAAGGGCTGCGCCCGTGATCTCTGTTAAGGAGATCACGTGGTCATAGACCACGTGATATGCTTTCTGTACAGACATGTGATCAGAAGCGAGCAGGTATAAGAGAAGTCTGTACTTAGTTATCTTCTCTTTTCCTCATCTTTTAGCTTCTGTACGATAG